ATTAATTATTTTTAATATATTTAATTTATTAAATTATATTTTTATTTTTTTTAATTTAAAATAATTACTATTATTAATTATTACATATAAATTATTTTATTTGTAAAATATATAAATTTTTAAAACTAAATCTAATAGAAAAAATAAAAGTTATTAATTTATTTATATATATAATAATAATTAACATAATAAAAATATATATATACGGAAGATTTATTATATTATATATTTTACATAATTTCAATAAAAAATTATTATTTTTTAGTAAAAATATTTTTCTCAAATCTAAATAATAAAAATAAAAATAAATATTTTATAATATTTTTAGGCAAAATAGCATAAAATCCCTAAGTGGTTTCACAAAGTTGCTGAAAACCCCTGGTTTTAAAACTCAAAAAAACCTACTTGTAGTTTGTAAAACGTTGCAGAAAAACCCTCATCCGTTAGAACTCAACGGAGAGTATATGTTACGCGCCTTAAATGCGAATTTTGGTCCAGAAGATGATAAATTTGTATGTGAAGTTACTAAAATGACCCTATGACTTTATTATATGCATTTTTCTCTCCCCTAAAATTCAATACAACTTAGTTCTTCCCCAAATGTCTTCTTTTCACCTGATTGTGCAGGTTAAAAATTCAGAATATATTCAATTCAAAGAATAAAAAAATTCGAAGCGGATAGATCACGTTCTCAATCTATATTCATAAAAAATGAAGGCACATCGAACTTAGTAAAATCAATAGAGAATTGTGATTTTTCATCTTTTTCCATATTTATCTAATGTGCAGAGAAACAGTGTTAATTTATGTTTCTTTCTCCATTTTTACAAATACTTTTTAGGTTAAATTTTAGGAGCAAATAATTCATAATTGGAGAAGAACTTGGTGCGGCTGTCTGAAGAAGAATTAGGGAAGAAAAAGTAGAAGAAGGAAAAAAAAATATTGGGAGGAAGAAGAAGACAATAAAAAATTGGGGAAAAGATACCTGGTGCGTGCGGCTGCGGCTGTGGCGAGTGAAGAAGAATTGAGAAAAAAATTGGGGAAAAGAAATAAGAGAAAGAATATGGTGTGGCTATGCGGTGTGAACAAAAATTGGGGAAGAAGAAGAAGGAACTCAAACAATTAAGACCCAGAAGAAAGAAAAATATTTTCTACAAATTGACTGACTGACGAACAACTCTAGCCCATTCCGGCGACCGGCGGCGGCGGCGGTTCTCAGCAACTTCCTTCCTTGGCGAACAACAACAGGTTAATACTTCCGCCGACGATTTTTTCACAGATCTTCTGAAAGAAAATTACAGAAAAATAAGAAAGAAAGGAAGAAGAAAAAGATGGGAGTCCGCGTGTGGGAGAAAATGGAAGAAAAAAAGTAGGAGAGAGAAAATGGTATAACGGTCTACTATAATAGAATTTAACGTCTATTGGTAGAATTTAAAGAGGAGGGGCGAGTGTCCAACATTTTACAAACCACAAGTATGTTTTTTGGAGTTTTAAAATCGGGGGGTTTTCAGCAACTTTGTGAAACCACAAGGGGGATTTCATGCTATTTTTCCATATTTTTATAATTTCAATAATTAATAACAAAAATTCTCATAAATTTCAAACCAAAATGAACAAAATTAAATATTTTAAAAAATAACATATCAATGTCATTAATAGTCATTTTATGTATAAACAACTAATGTCAAACAATTATTTTACCTAAAACTTTAATACAAACCGTTAATTGAATCAGCTAGTTAAACCAGCTAATTGAATCACCTAACAGCTAAAAACAGCTAATTGCCAAATGCATCGTTGAAGAAAAATTTAAAAGAAAAATAATTTTTTTTTTATTGAAAAGTGCATCTTAGCAATCCAATAAACAATTATTTTCAATTCATTGTATTATTTTGCACAGAGGTCTGACAAATTTACAAATACAGATTTTCTCCTTATCATTATCCACCACTTACTTCAAACTTTAACTCTTTTTCCTACAGCTTGATGCAATATTTCTTCTTATGTTTTTTTCTCAAGATACATTCATCTTTTGCTATTTTTGCTTCTTGATTGGAATATGTGAGTTACGCATTTCAATCTTTTTGTTGGCACTCGATTTAAAATATACTTTGCATAATGGACTGCTTCTTCCTACAAGTTTTTCGATACATTCAACGTTGTAAGAAAAAATTGAACACTATGATCATATATAATGCTTATAACCAATTACCAATTGAATAACAATAATATTATAAATTGATGATCGAATATTTTTTTCGAGTCCTAAGTGAAAAAAAAAGAGATGATAGATATTTGTTGGATTATTATACAAGGTTTTTTTATTTGATAACGTCTGAATCTACCGTTGCTACTCGACGAGTGAGCTATGAGTAAATCTTCGATCGAAGTTTAAACTTATGTAGAACTATTTGAGGTTTAATTTTTCGATGCAAATACTTTACTGATTCCCAAACAAGCAATTCAAACATATTGAATTCTTCTTTTGAGTTTTAAATAGACCGAAATGCTTCTGTATACTTAATATAAAAACACTTAATATTAAAAATACATAATAAATACACACAACAAAAATCGAATATATATATATTTTTTCTTACAACATGTTTGTTTCTTATTACTATTTTTTTTATATAAATATATTTATAGTAAAAACATATTACTTTATCCCATAAAACAATATAAAATCACTATTTAAGTAAAAATACAAATATGGAATATAAAAAATATCACAAAATAAACACTCAAAGGATTTTATTTTCTTTTTTCTATTTGTTTTTTTATAGTCTTCCCAATTTATTTTACTATACATTTCTCCCTTTGTTCGGCTAATTATTTGACAATGACTATTAGAAAATTAATAAATAATCCTAGTGTTTTAATATAGATATAGGGTATGCCAAAATTAAAGTAAAAATATTATAAATAAAGTAATGTGATAAATAAAAATATAATAATAAATTAATTATTATTTGTTAAAATAAAGTAATAAAATTATAAAAATAAATTTTTTTATTATAAATAGATTATACATAAATTATGCAAATATATTGCATATTTTTTTTATTGTTTTAATCTTTTTTTTTTAGAATTTAGATTTTAAATAATAAAAATCTGAATTTAAAAAATCGTTTGTTGTGATATAGTTACAATAGATAAGTTGTTGATCCGGTCAAATGCTAATTTGATTGGATCAATATATATTATAGGAGTGATTAACATATATTTCTATATATCACAACATATTTATAACATAATATATATTATATTAAAACTCAACATATGTTTAATATATTTAACAATATGTTGGTCACCTCATCTATAGCATATGCTGATCAGGTTAAATCGACTTGACCGAATCAACATGTGATCTGCAATCATAACTATTTATCGATACACTATTTTTAATGTAAAATTATTTTTTAATACAATATAAAAAATAAAAATATGTTCGATTTAAGATTTTTGAAGGAAAAAATTATTTGAATAGTAAAAAATATTAAATAAATCCAACAAAATTGGAGTAAGCATTGGTCGGTCCAAATCGAAAAGACCATATTATTTCTTTTTGGATTGTTCGATTCATTGGTTCGGTTCGATTCAAAATTGAATTTGTACATTTTGGTTTCAATTCGGTAATGATTTTTAATTTTTATTTTCGGTTAAATGAAAAACTGAACTTAAAGAAAATTATATATTAATAAATAATTATACTATAATTTTGAGTATTTGTATTTGATTGTATTTGTAAGTTATATATTAATAAATAAAAATTTGATTTGGTCGGTTTTGAAAAACTTTAGTTTGATTAAGATTTTCATTTTTACAAACTAAAAATCGATCAAAATTAAAATTTAATTCGATTTGGTTGGATCGAATGGTCACCCCCTCCACAAGAAAATATAACCTAAGTGACATCTTAATACATTTATTTATATATTCAATTTATACTTTAATAAACTTACATTTAGGATGTGTTTGTTTGGGGTATAAATTTTGAGTTGAAATTTGAATAGTAAAAAATTTGAATTGAAATAGCGGTATAATGCGATATAAATAAGTATTAATGTAATGTTTTGAATGTAAATTTGATTTTTAGAATAATATAAAAAATAAAAAAATAATATTTTATTTGATATTTTTGGGGATTTTTTTTTTTTTTTGTATAAATAGTAATTGTCAAAATCCTTTAAACAAACGCAGCCTTAGTTGGCTTTTGTACTTTACTATTTTTTCTCGCACATTTTTTCATAAAAAAAATATATTATACATATTTAGAGTTGTTAACGATTCGAGACGAGACGAGTCGAGTCGAGTCAAATTTTAAATGTTCGTTCGTTTAGCTTTCGAGCTCATTCGTAGTGTTCGAGTTCGGCTCGTTAAGAATTTTTGTTGTTTGAGCTCGTGTTCGTGTTCGGCTCGTTTAGGTTCGATTAAGCTCGTTGGAGTTAGTTCGAGTTCGTTAGTCTTATTTTTTAAAATTTATATATAAATTATAAAGAAAATTTGAAATTATTTTATTTATATATTTTAAATTAATATTTTATTTAATTATAAATTATAATTTTATATGCATACATATATTTATAATAAATATATTATTTAAACGAATCGTTCGCGAATGTTCGCGAAGAAAGCTCGGGCTCGTTCGTTAACTAAACGAGTCTGTTTATATTGTTCGGTTCGGCTCGTTAACGTTCGCGAACGAGCATCGAGCCGAGTTCACGAATGGCTCGGTTTGTTTAACAGCTATACACATATTCATTATTTTTATATTTCCTACACAATTCTTTATATTTCACGTAAAATAATTTTTTTTTTCAATAATTTCACAAAATAAATCCATAAATTTCGTGAATTATGGGATAAGAAATTGGAAAAAGATAAACCATGCATATACAAAATGGGCTCACTAATGTGGCTGGCCCATTTAAATAAAGCAAATACAGTAGGCCCATTAGAACGATGAGCCGAACTCCATAGATGTAGTTGACCTGACCTCGATCGAAGCCCTTTCCATCATCGGAAATCGAGGAAGACTCACACCGTTGAGGGCTCGGGAGGCCGCTTTGTTGTGTCCAATTGTACCTGTTGTAGGCGGAGGAAATGTCGGCGTCAGCTAGCGCGACGGAGAGGAGAGGGATTCCGGCGGCTGTGTTTGTCGAAGACGTGCAGACATATCTCTCGCAACTAAATCTCGATGTCAACTCCGCGCTCGCTTTTTTGCAAGAGAGGTTTTTGTTTTTTTTTTGCTGTATATTTGCATCTATTGTTGTAGTGAATGTTTCTAATTAACTACTGGAACTCAATGGAAGTCGTGTTATGCAGAGGGTTAAGTATTGAGAGTTGAGACTTCTACTATTGTTACACATTTGAAGAATCTGTAAATGAAATTGTTTAAATTTTTACTATTCTCTGTTGAATGGTGTGAAAGATGCTACTTTAATGGATATTGAACTTTATAGTAAACTGGACATGATCTGTTTTGCAATGGTTTATAATTCCAAATTTGAAGAGGGTGAAAAGGCTATCGGCAATGAGATGTTTTTGGTCATTTAATTTAATGTATTTGTTGTCAATTTTATTTCAACTGTGAATCTATGGCAGGCTTCAGCAATACAGGGTGGTGGAGATGAAGCTTCTTGCACAACAAAGGGATCTTCAGGTATGAGCTTCTGGTTACGGAATGTTATTCATTTTTCTAAAGTTGCCGAGGAAATGAGAATAATGTGTAGTTTTATGGCCTGATAGTTATATCTTTACCATATTTTGCTGGTATAGTTGCTAGGTAGTATTTGCTTCATTCTTAGTGCCTGTTATGATGTAGTGGGAGAAAGAGGGATGAGTTCATGTTCTACTCATGAGTTTTACACGAGCACAGCATCTTTCAATCCAATTAATTATCTGTCCTGAATTTCTAAAGATCAGTGACCTTATTTGACTTGAAGATTTCAGTGTTAGTCTTTAGAATTGTAGATTTACTTTACCTCATAACAAGCTGTTAGGCATAGATGGGTAGCTAAACCAGAGTTTGAAGAATCTGAGCAAAACAATAAATGAAAGATAAAAATTGTGATGTTTGTTGAAATCCAAAATGGGAGAAAACGATGGAGGATACAAGCACGCACTACAACATGGTTGATGATTACAAAGTACAAGATGATCTTGGCTCTCTTTCTGATTTTGATCCCTTAACAATGTGACATATCTGAATCACATTCTAAAACTAATTCTGACTTCTGATATGGAAGATAAAAAATCTTCTTTGTTGGGTGCATGCTATGAGGCGTGCACAAATGATTGATGTGATGGTTTGAGGGGTTTTCACAGTACTAAGAAAGTACGGGCTGTTGTATACACGGTAGTTAAGCTAGAATGACTTCAAGTGGTTCCAATCTGTGGAAAATAGGATTTGAGCAGAATAGAAAGTCTTAAGTGGAGAGAAGCTACAGAAAATTGTTATCTGTGTAATTGGAACCTTCAATAGAAATTGGTTATGGCTTGTGACTTCTAGCAAGTTGGAAAGTTAAGAGTGATGCCATATTGCTCAACTTGCAACTTAGTTGGGTCTGCCTTTACCTCACATCAAGAGTAATGAACCATTCACAATTCGGATAGATGTCGAATAAACATCCCAACTCCATGATACACCGATTTGGGAACTCTCCTCTTTTACTTTCTTTCTTTCTGCCTCGTGTTTCCCCTTATTCTGTTGCTGGTAACAATCAACGAATAAAGCTCTAGTAATGGTTCTCAGACAAAAATGCTAGCTGAGCTTAAACTTGATGCCTACAGACCATAAAAAGAACCATAGATGCAATTAAAGGAGGGGGTGAAATTGAAAAGCAATAAATGAAAGATGAACATAGTGATTTATGTGGAAGCCTTAAACCGGAGAAACCTTTAATGCTCTATGCAACACTAAACAACAACCTTTGTGGTCTCTCTCTATCTAACTTGGACCCCAAAACACAGTATAAACCACTCTATCCACTGGACCTCACTAGATATATCAGTATTATGTTCTAACTAGTTCTGTTGCATAAAAGACATAACAAATATCTACAGATGTGTGTGTAGATCCTCTAAAGCCATTGAACAACTGACAGAACACATTTTTGTAATTTGTGATATCAGAAAATATTTGACTATCATTGTTTGTAACACTTTGAACTTCCTACTCTTTCTGTTGCTTGCCAACAAGAATTGAGGAAACAAAAAAAAAAAAAAAAAAAAGAACGAATCAAAACCCTCCTCAATTGACTGTCCAGAGCACACCTAGTGAATTTGAGCCCATCTCGACAATAGTCATACCACATACTCTCGAACGCCATTTCATGTGCCTGCTTTGAACTGAAGTATTTATAAATATAATTTGTTGCTACATCTTTTATTTCATTAAATGGTATTGTCAGCTCCTCTTTTGCTCCTTGGGTTCTAACTTATTACTTTCTTGATGACACAACAATAGGCGAAAATTCCTGACATAGAGAAATGCTTAGATGTTGTTGCAACCCTGCAAGCAAAGAAGGGCACTGGTGAGGTTTGTTCTTAAAACTTGTAAACTGTTTCTTGGATTATGTTACTACTTTGAGGCTTTTTCTTTTTTTTTTTTTTGTCATGTTTTGGAAAGATTCTTTTATTCTTTATATCACTATTGTTAATTTAGTTATGAAAGGAAACCTAAACATATGTATTTTATTGGAATTTCATTAATTCATTATTCTTTGAGGGACTAATAAACTGCTAAGCATTTACTTAATTACTTTGAAGCAAATTTCTCTTATTAAGACTTACTGTGGAATATTACGCCGCCTAGAACTTTTATTCATGGGACTCAATGAACAAAGTTACAAGAAGTCCTTAATTTATATCCATGCTCGGTGTTCATTGCTCTTTGAGGACTAAAAGGAAAATTGCTTAGAACAGGGTTACTTATTTATTTATTTATTTTTTCTTATGCTAGTATTAATCTTTGTTCTGCTTTTTTTTGGCCATAAGCACTTAGTTTTAGCAATGGTGAATTTTTAATATTCTCCGAATTCATATCAAGAGTGCGGTATCACATATTACGACATATTCAGCAGAAGTCCATGTACTGTAGTTCTCTTGTGTGATTGTGGTTGTGTTATGTTATAGTCTTTGTTGATTCTGTGCTTGTTGTAGGCCATTATCGCGGACTTTGAACTGTCAGAGGGCATTTATTCGAGGGCTAGGGTTGAGGAGGCAGATTCAGTGTGTTTATGGCTTGGAGCAAATGTCATGCTTGAGTATTCATGTGAAGAGGTATCATTTTAGTTGACGACGTATTGGATTCAAATTTATTTAGGCTCTGTTTGGTTGGAAGGAGTTGGGTTATTGGTATTTCAAATTACTATAAAATTGATTAGTTTCTTATGACAATGCTATTGAATTTCAAATCTCCGTAGTTGGTTGTTGATTTCAAATCCATCATCTTTAATATTTCAAATACTCTTTCTTATACTTTATAATATCAAATACTTTTTGTAGCTAAATGATGGATTTAAATTTTAAAGTATTTTAAATTCGAAATAATTCAAAAGCATTCATTTAAAATCCTCTTTCAAATCCAAATCCATCCAATTGAACGGGACCTTAGGGTGTGTTTGGTACAGATAATTGACTATGTTTTTATTTATCTTGTTTGATTGAACCAGATAAATGGAAGTTGAGAAATAAATTATTTTCATTTTTTGTATTTCATTTTTCTCAAATATCCAGAGAAATGGAGAGAAATGAATTTCAATATTATCTTTTAAAAATTTTTAATTTTTTTTTGTACTATTTAATTTTTGTAATTTTAAAAAAATTAATATTATTTCAATTTTACAAAAATTGCATTACATCTATTATTCAAGTATTTAAATTTTTAAGGTTTCTGAAAAAATTGTACTAAAATATAATCTTACAAAACATTGTATATAGTTTATAAATTTTTTTAAAAAATCACCAAAAAATATTTCTTTATAATTCTCACTCGTTAAAACTCTCTAATCATTTGTTCATGTTCGATTAATTCAATTATCTGTATTTTTTTTACATTTGAATTCTCTATTTTTATCAAACAAATGAATCGATTTTTATTTTCTGATGAATTCATTTTCTCTGTAATTTCATTATCTACTCTCATTTCTCTGCAATTATATTTTTCGTACCAAACGCTCCTTTATAGTTCTCCTTGAATGCACGAGCCCACAAGATCTTCATTGTGCGTGCAGGCAACTACGCTTCTTAAAAAGAACTTGGAGAATGCTAAAGCAAGCTTAGAAGTTCTTGTTGCTGATCTACAGTTCTTAAGGGATCAAGTTACAATTACTCAGGTAAAATCTGTAAACATTATCGTTTAGCGCTACTTAAAGTATTATTGAGTCGGATGCGCTCATCATTCTGCGCCGTAAATCTAACTAATGAAAACACTTGTTTTACTCCATCCATATTTGGCATACTGTAATTTTTATTTTTTATTTTTATTTTTCTTTTCGCGTTACTTTTATTGATCAGGTCACGATCGCTCGAGTGTATAACTGGGATGTACATCAACGTAGACACAAGAAAACTCCTGCTGCTACCTCCTCAGAATCGTGAGTGTTTTTTTTTGTGTGTGTTTTTTTGTTTTCTTCATTTGCATGTTTAGTTGGCACTATTATTATTATTATTATTATTATTATTATTATTATTATTATTATTATTATTCAGTATTTAGGTCGAAATTTGGTTGTGAAAGAAACATCTATAATATATATTTATTTTGTTTGGCACCTAATTTTTCCCAAATATTTATGGCCCTTCTGTGTTGTAACATTAGAAAGTGCATTTTTAGTCGATATTTATGCATCTAATGTATGAACTACCTATCAGATCTTTATATATTTATTTATTTTACGGTATTTGACATAAATGCACCCAAATTGGGAATAAATTTTAGAATCTTAATTTTTCAACCTATGATATTACAAATATATTCATTTTTTTTATATTTAGCTTATATACTAAAAAAATAGTTATTTTTCTTAAGTTTTAAGAGTTTATTTTTATTGTTTTTTTAGGCTAAATAAATAAAATAAATAAATATATTTGTAATTTTAGAGGTTTAGAAATTGAGATTATAAAATTTATTTGCATTTTGAGCTGCTGAGGGGCTAGAGACAGATATAGGGATTTGGTGCAACTGCGCGGTGGATTTTGTGTAATTTAATTTTTATTTTATTACACGGTTTTTTAGTATAAAAAAAGAAAACATACTTCCATATTAGATCCTATTGCCCTCTCTTTGGAAAAATTAGGGCTACTTGTGGATAGAAATTTTTAAAAGTTTTGAAGTAATTACTATTCAATCACTACTGTTTGTGGTGAAACTATATGATTTTTTTTTAATTTTTTTTAATTTTTTTCAAATATTAAAATACTATTTCAATGAAAATTTACATAATTAGAGCAAACAAATTTTGAGTCACAGAAGTTTTGCAAATAATAGAAAAATTCATGTAAAAAGTAGGTGTTACTATGATTTGCCTAAAACTCACTATAATTTGCAAATAACTTAAGGTTATTTGCGGGCTAATTTGCTGCAGGTGAAATTTAGTCAATTAGATCTAACCCTCCAGTAGGTGGTGATTTAAAACAGGCTAATCTATGAGTTTTTTTAATAATATTATGAAATATTATCGCTGATATCAAAATAATTTTTAATTTTTATTTAAATTACAATTACAAATATAAATGATGTGAATTAGCATTTTATGTATTACTTATATATATATATATATTTAAAGTGATTAAAAGTGTTGGTTCAACGCTAAAATTGCAACTTATGTACAAAAATAAAATTTTAATGCAACATTTTAAATAAATAAATAATAGAATAATTTAAAAGTTATTTTTGAAGGGTAATTGATTTGATTTTTTCTTTTGAAAGCAAAATATCAATCTTTTATTAATTTTAGACCTCCAAATCAACATAATGAGTCTATTTTTCACTTCCAATATACTCTACTCCAAACTAAAATGTCATGCCAATGCTTCTCGAATTGCCATATACCTATACCATATCCTACATTCTCACCTTTAAATACGTAATCTAAATACAAATATTCTATATCTATGTCTATATCTAATCAAGGTTCATCACTCATTCACCGGTTCTCTTTTTACTTTTTTTTTTTAGATGACGTGGGAACTACAATCGCTACTCGAAAGTGCGCACTGGGTAAACCCTCGGCCGAACCTAATACCCTGCAAATCAGGCCCAACGGGACCATTTCTCTTCTTACTTGGTCTTTGAAGATATTGTTAAGACTATTTATAAATTTTCTTGGGAAAAATTCCATTTGCACTATATTAAGGACGGTAATACGAAACCGGATCATAACCAAGCAACCGTAGACGAATCACTTTTCACTACGTGCTTCGGAATAGGGAATCCCACTGATAATCGAATTTCTTTCAAAATATGTCCCCGGACATTTAGCATTGAACCATTTTCACATTATTCATATTACCCTTTCAACCATATCCGATTTCGATGGAGATTTTCTTTAGAAAATTCAAATGCACCATATCACAACATAGCATAAAAAATCCCAAACTATTTTCTTAAATTTACCTTTTCGGATTTACTTCCAACTCGGGAAGAGCCCCCGCACATCCCTCGGGAGGGACCACGAAATATTGAACTGTTCAATCATCGACCACTACAAATGTGTAGTGAAATTGCATTGCACAAAAATATGATCGATCTTTTCATCTTCTAATCCGCACATTGGACACTCTACTTCCCTATTTATCGTTATTCCTCTTCTAACCAAATCCATTCTAATAGGGATTTCCTTACAATAACAATCGGGACTTGAAAGGAGCAACACTTACCCAAATATGATCTGCCAACAGACAATGTACTTTACTATTTTGGATTGCTTGACAGCCTTCTCTCGTTGTGAAAATTCCATTCGATGATCTTGTCCACGCCACCCTATCTTCGATCCCTCTTCTTAGGCAGATCGAATTGATTAGAGTTAGGAATGCCTCACAAAGATGATTTTTTTTTTTTTAAAAAAAGAAACCTCTAAAGAGAACTTGTGGTTTAACTCCTATACAGCTAAGGGGTGCTCAAAAAAGTCGAACCGAACCGTCGAACCGCTGAACCGAACTGAATCGAACCGAATTTTCGGTTAATCGAACAAATTCGGTTCGAATACAAATATTACATATTTGATATTTGGTTGGTTCGGTTCGATTTCGATTTTTGATATTTTTTTAAGTTAAGTTAACCAAACTTATTATTTTTATATATTTTTAAAATATTAAAATTTAATTATTTTTTATATTGTGAACTAATTGTAAAAATTATTTTTGTTAAATTATATATTTATATCAAATAATTTTAACCAAAAAGTGAAAATAATAATAATATGATTATATTGAAAACATGGTCATAATATGGCCTAGAACACGGAGAACATGACTACGTTGAAAACATGGGCGGGCAGAAACATGACTGTGTTCAGAACACCGGCAGGAACACGACCGTGTTCAGAAGTACAGGGTAATCAACACGACCGTGTTGAGTGGGACGCACAGTCACCTTCTGAGTCATCCACCACGGCCGGCCGTGTTCAGTCTCAGTCAACCATCTTGGAATGAGACCAAAATTGATAATTTTTTTTTTAATGAGACCAAAATTGATAATTATGATATTAAATGAGATCAAAAATGATTTTTACTCTATTTATTTTTATTTGATTAGAATTTAAATTATTTTTTAATATATATATTCTTTTTCGGTTGCAAATATTCCAAATATTTTTTATTAATCGAAATTTTTGGTTCGAATACGATTCGCAATTTCGGGTATTTGTTCGATCCAATTAGATATGTGCAAATACCCAAACCGTGTCCATCCCTATATACAATTGCATCTAAGAACAAAGGACAACGCAAATTTGTGTTCTGTTTAGCCATGGGATTTTGATATTATTCTTTAGCAATACTTTTTTCTAAAAAAAATATTAAATTAAATATTTATTTTATTTTGCAGCTTTATAAAATATCAAATCCAATAATTTTTCTCAACAGCGGCAAATTAAAGACAAGAAACAATGAGCTCAAAATTTTTCTCCTAAAGAAGACGATTCGATAGGTCGAAGGCCCATTGATCCATCGCTTAGCCAAACCGAAAATTCGATTAACCGAGCAAGATTAGCTTCAAGACAGTAAAAATAGCAAGATCATCGTACCTTCCCTGTTACATGCATCGATCAATCGGGATGAAGATTCAAACACAAACGATCGATTCAATCAGCCTCTCCGGTTCCATCGAATGACTAACCGACTCCTCCGAGGTCCATCTGCTTCGATCTGTTCGCCATAAGGAACAAAAAAGCAATCGTTAAAGATTATGCATGGCAGTCGACGGACTAAAAATCGAACCATTTTCGATCACCAGATTTCAATCTTCTCATTTCCCTCGAAGGCTCGTGCTTTTACGCTTTTGATTTAGCGCAAACCGTCGCGCCATAGCTGAATTGTAGAACCTCCTCATGTGCTCCGATAGTTTTTGGATCGCTCGAAGATCGCCCGCGGCAGAGAGCCGCATCAGAAAGGTATCGAATTTCTTATACGGCAATTTCATCCCCCGATCGATCACTTGTTCGAGAAGAAACATCGCATCCGTCGCGTTATTGCATCCGAACAGCCCTTCGATCATCACGCAATAAGTGTCCGTGTCGCGCGCACATCCCCTCCGATCCATCTCATCCCAAGCGTCAAACGCGCCGTCGGGATCGCCCATCGCGAAGAACATTTCGATCAAAATGTTGTAGGTTTGCACGCTTGGCGCACACCCCGCCTCCGTCATTTTCTCGAAAAGCCTAATTGACTCTTCCCGATTCTTACTTCCGCAGAGAACCTTGAGAAAACAGTTGTACGTAACAATATCGGGAGGGTACCCCGTCCGCGCCATCGCTTCTAAAAATCCATACGCAGCTTCGACGTGTCCGCACGAAACCATACCTTCGACAATTTCTTTGTATGTCGTTACGTCAGGGAGGCAGCCGTTGCCGATCATTTCTTCCAAGAGTTTAAGGGATTCATCCATTCGATCGTTCCGGACGAGCGCGAGCATCATAATCGAGTACGTTTTTGCAGTCGGCGACGACGTAGTCGACCCATTGGTTTTCATGAACCCCAAAAGCTCGCGCGCTTCTTTCAGCATTCCCGACTTGCAGAAGGTATCGATCGCAGTGTTGTACGTGAAATTATCCGGCGCGTGACCTACATCGATCATCTCCTGGAGCACTTTCATGCCTCGATACGGATTCCGGACTCGGCACCATCCGAAGAACAGAATACTATACGTCTGCGCATCGGGTTTGATCTTGCTTTTCACCCGAGCAACCATCAGCTCAGCGTCCTCGACGAGACAGCACTTGCACAAAGCATCGAGCAGTAAATTTAGCGCATTTATCTCTGGCTTCGTCTTCACTCTTATCTTCTTTTTCTTCGAAAACTTCTGAAGATGCGTCAAGTGGTTCTCCGTGTACCGTCTCAGATTCATCGTCAGCACATCGACGGGAACAGACCGTTTGTTGCGGCGTTTCATGTAATCCAGAAGATCGCAAACAATTCGAAACTGTTTCACCTTGTGCTTAGTACTCGAAAGAATGTCGATCATTTTGTTATACGATTCAGCCTCGTGATGATAGTCTTCTCGACGGCCTACCAAAGTAAAGAACCTGAACGCCGTTTTCTCATCGAATCGAAGCCTATGCAAGACCTCTAACACAAGAGGCGTCGTCAATTTAACATCGACTGTTTCAAGAGCACTCTCCATTTTGTATTCGGGATTCGAGTGATCCAACACCAATTTATAGACCGTATCGACAGAATCAATCTCACAATCATCAGAGACATTCTTCGATCCCAAAGGCTCTAAACTGCAAAATTTCCTAGAATTCGAGCTGGAAAGCCACAAACAAGAGATGGTTGAATACTCAATTGTTGATCCACGTAGAAAACATGAGCTGATAAGCCATTTATGATCGAGTATCGACTTCGGGAACCCCTGAATTTTCCCACATTCATTAATCCTACTTAACGAAACACCATATTTCGTGAATGATGCTTTGGATGAACTTGTCAAAAATCTTCCAGCTTTGGATAAAGCAAGTGGAACTAAAACGCGCCGAAGCATCACCGGAAAAAATGCATAGAACAAACAAAAGGAAAATCGAAAAATCCTTAATGGAGTAAGTTCAAGAGTATAAGAGCTTACAGAGATGCAAGAACAATGATACTGTTGCGGCAATTCGTCGAACAGGTAGCGAGCATCTAAGTTTATGCTTCAAACGCGTCAACAAGGCAGATCGGAGAATTCTAATCCGTAAATAAGCAAATGAATCGAAACCATTCTCGCAGAACTTCGGAATCCAAAACCAGAATCCCAAATTCGAATGCTGGGAATGAGAATGAGAGGAGTTCTTCGTTCACTTCTCTCTTCACTAAATAAGAACTTCCAAGCCTCGACAGACATTTAAATAGGTGTGCTGACAATATTGCCCTCAAGTTAAACAAACTTAAATAGTGAAAATAAATGAAAATAAATAGTAAGGAATGTTAAGATATATTTCTCGACACGTAAAAATATAAAATAATCATTTAAAAATATATGACATTAATTTGAACGAGTTTCGAAAATATTTTACAAAACTTCTAAAAATGTATTTTGTGTAATATTTTTTAAAAGAGGAATAAAGTTTTAAAATTAAGGAGACTTGGACTAAAGTCTCTGTCAGTAAAATTCACTTGTAAATCAGTCTCTCTTGAAAATTAATTAGTCTGCAGTTCCTATTTTATAGATTAGGTTTATTATAGCTCCCCAATTTATTTTTTCTCTTAATTCACCGTTGTAAACACAACAAGTACTTGAAATAGATTAATAAATACTTCTAATGTTGCAATATATACCTACATTACTTTCCGCTCTACCCTCGTTATAATTTTATATACTTCTAGTTAAATATCGAGTACTTTTTTTTTATGAATTAAAAAAAAAAATAGTAAAATAAAGATAGTTACTTACGATTTAACAGGAGTTTAGGCAGAAAAACCTCTCATAACTCTCCTCAATTTTAAACCCTACATCTTCCATTATCAGGCGAACCAGTGTTCTCCAACGCTCGGTGATCAAGTATTGAACGATCGGTGCAAAAATGGTGAAGAAAACAACTGACCCACTCTCATCCCCAAAGACAAGCTCGAAAAAGTAAGACCTTTTTCGATTTTTTATTTTGTCTAACATTAGTATTTTATATCGTAGTTTGTTCGATTGTTTTGGGTATAAGTCTTAGTCCAATATTTGTATGCCTCGATCGGTTCGGTGTTGCCCTGGGTGATCGGTGTAGTTGTGTTTGTTAATTGGGTTTGAAATTGTTCGTATGTTTGTCTACGTAGACCGAGTTGGGTTTTTATTTTGACACCAATTTTTTAGGTGATTTTATTTGTTTAATTTGTAATTTTAGTTAATTTTATAGATATACATTTTGTTTAGTTACCTGGAGTTGCATAATTTAATATTTTTTTGTTTGTTTGATTGATCGATAATTACTTATATTTGCGGGTTAGTAAATGCGGTTATGTTAGGTACCCCGAATTGCATTTTTCAGGTTTAGTTTGCTAAGTAATAGACTTTTAAGGGACTACTGTGTACTCGGAATGTATTGTTACATACTCCTGATAGATTCTGACAAACTTTAAAATAAATTCAAGATTTGGATAATGTGTATTAATGATATTTATTTACAGATTGGGTAAAGAATACATATCGGTTATCTATCGGTTTGTAGTACTGATTGGTCTGTATGTTCTCCGAGTGTTACATCCATGCGAATCTGGTAGTATCGGCAGCAAGTTTGATAATATAAAGAGCTATCGCAGTAAAATTACGACCAAAATACTAAAAGGTCCACCGACGAACCGTAGATTTCAATGAACAACACATGGTAAGTGAATGTTGTAATGAATTTGGATGGATATGGGATTTATTTGAGTTTTGTTATTTGTGCTTGATTTGAGTAGTGTGTTATTTCGATTGAATTGTTGGTTGAATTGTGTAATATGCCTCATCTTCAATGATATTATATTAAGATCTATTGAGGGATTGAATTATAGGTTAAATTTGGTGAAACTCAAAGTTTGGAGTAATGCTATAAATTGTGCCGTATGATTAATTCTTCGCATGGTTAAAATTGCAATAATGCACATATTGTACCTCAACAACAGATTGATGTACCCGTCTAACTAGATCGAAATACCTTCAAAATATATATATGCTCATATACATGTTATTCATTAATTATGAAGGTTATCCTTGTATGAAGACAACAACAAACCAGAAAAGTTATGCATATTGCTCTTAAATTGAAATTAACTAATTCATTACAAGACCTTACAATGATTGAAGTGATGCTTGCAATGAACAGAAGTGCATATATGGATACCTAACTACATTAGTGGTACACCTAAGAAAGAAAATTATATACATGTACTGCGAAAGTTTATGCCCTCATCACATTGATACATACTTCTTGTCAAACACGACAGACCTCGGTTATTTAATGATATACCTATATTAAGCTAGAAAATACCCCAAGTTAAGTTATTTATGTCTGGGGGGTCTAATAATTCATATCTCGAACATTAAGTAAAGTATAACATTATCTTTAACAATATTCGAACATGGGATGTATTCATCTTTAACATAGTCAATTATACCAATTTAGAAAATTAAAAAGTTGTTTATAAAAATTAACAACATGATCCATATAGGTGAACAATAGGCTATGGCGTTAGTTAGTTGTGTTGTTGGTAAGAGTAGTACTTAGTTATGATGCATATGCAATGGTTGTACAAATTAATAATGGAGAGTATTAATAATTGGAGAGTATTCTCTCCAATTGAATTCACAATAATAGATTTCAAACACTATAGGAGCGACATTATATTACAACATCTCATTCATTCACACATGTTAGCATCAACGGGTACCTCAGTCGTTTACCAATATACTCCGGAATTAGTATCTCATATGCTCCTATAACTAGTATCTATGCTTGGAAACTTGTGCTTGGAAAACAAGTTGTTCTCAATTCAAAATATTCAATTTTTGTCTGTAAATAGGGATAAATTCATCATTATAATATTTTCGTAAATTCCGTAACTGTATGTAAAGCTAAATAACACATATTTATTATGGATGACTGAACAAGTATTAAATAACTTAGAGTTAAATTATGTTTTTTTGTTACTCATACATATTTTGTAGTCTTTCCATTGAAAAGTATGGCATGAGCTATCAAATATAAATGTACAGTACCTAAATTTTTCCAACAATGCTAGGAGATGAAGTACTCTCACCGAGTTTGTGCCCCTCAGGGGATCAACTGAAATCAATCACATTCACGAATACCTTCTACTACAAAGAAAATACCTAAGCAATTATCATCTATACCTTGAATGTCGGTGTATGTACCCAAAGCACATACTTACATACCTGCATCAAATACGGACATATCTTGTCACAGATCTTATGTACCTATAATACTGGTATTATATGCTTCAGTAACGAGTATTTATACTATGATAACATGTGCTTGGAAAACAGACACTTTTTGTTCAAATTATTCACTTGTTGTCGGTAACCAAGGATGAATTCATCGTGATAGTATTTCCGCGGCACCCTAAATTGTTTGAAAAGATAAATAACATATATTTACTATAGATGACTAAATAAGTCAAAAATAACTTCGTTATATTGTGTGGCATATGTACAATTATAGTCCAACCTCCACTTGTAGATGGCTAAACAAGTCATAAATGACTAAGTTAAATTATATTGGTTGTTAGAGTAAATAATTGCTGCCAGGAATTGAAAATCTTTGGACAATTACATAGTAATCTACATCATAACACACACACAACAACATTCAAGTGAAAGCGCGAGCTGTAATCTACCACTAGGATTTCAAGTGTTTTTTGTGTAATAGGACAAACACATCTTTTCTAAAATATTTTGACCCATAACATAATAATCTAAATTTTCACACTCACAAACTCAAATATCAATCAATCAGAAGCATTTAATAAAATAGTAACTCAGTTGAGTAGGAAAGTACTCCAGTAGAGCTCCGATGTACCTCTGTTAAATTTTCAGAAACCTTTGTTGTCAACAAGTCATATATAAAATACTATCTCACATACCCATAATTTTTGTTCATCTACCATAATACATCAAATTTAGAAAAGAGCTTCAATGCAACAATGCTCTTATTGTTGTATATTTATATACAACATTACATTATGTTTAGGACGCCAAAAGTAATTACAATGAGAGGATTGATGGACATTCTTTCAAAATACAAAAAAAAATTACACATTTAAATATCTACAACAATTGCGTTTGGCTTTAACCAACTATCACGGACCAAATTGAGTACTTCTGCAGCTGCAATTAAGATATCAGCGTCTTGATTTGTTCTGAATTTTTGGTAAATGGATGAAGAATAGTCACTTTAGCACGATGCTTCTGCCCATAAATAGATAAAATATTAATGTTCAGCAACTTAGGAAAAAATATGTGATTATATAATAAATTGTACAATTAGAGTACATGAATATAATATTTTTACACACTAATCTAAACCTACTGGACTATAATAAATTATAATTATATATACCATATATAAATCAATACTTGAAGAAGTAAGGCTGTAGGCAATCCAACAATGTTATTTTAACCATCACTATAACATTGTTTTCTATAATATCAACACCAAACTACAAAAGATTATAAATGCACAAAAATAACTAGTGATGACAATATTGAGGATATAATTGTTGATTGAAACTCCAAAATAGTGCATATTCATGAAAAGTGAAATTATAACTCAATACTTTGAACAAAAAATTATTAAATTCTCTTACACTAATACATGTAATTTTTTGAGACATTTTATCGAACATGTGAAGTGCATTAGACATTTACCTCACTACTATTAACATAATGTGTTTTCCAAATGGGAGATAGGAAAAAAAATATGAAAAATGCATCAGGGTTGAGATTTGGTATTCATTCACCACACATAATATATCTACAATCAATCAAGAACAGATGTTCTAACCTTTTGAAAACAACAAGGTGGGTCTTCTTCGAAGAGAAATGGATTGTTGTCCAATGGCCGTAACAAATTGGGATAGATGGGTCTTTGTGTTTGTCGGAATCTAGGCCAGTGATCTGTAATTACAATTTCACGTTCACTGGATTATGAGCGAGTAGATTCCCCTTCCAATTTTGTGCGAAATTAACGAGAGATTACATTAGGAAAAAGTGTGAAGATGAAATGAAATAGAAAATGAGGGAGTGCTGCACTAGTAAGATTTATCACAAAATAATCACCTCATGAGACATAAACTACCCATTTTAAAATAGAGGTCCTAACCTTTGTAAAATTCCGACGTCACTCTTCACCGGAGAAGAAGGGCTCGCAGTGGCACGAAAATATCAAACAAGAAAAAAAGAAAATGGTTCTTCGCGATTGTTGGCTTATGGGCAACGCGGCTACTGTGGTGATTTTTGATCCAATGATTCTGGACTAACAGGTTTTACTCCCAATTCCGCGCGAAGAATAACCAACTTGTGAAAGGGATTTGAGAGCTAAATCAGAAATAAAGAAATGATAGAGAGTCAAGAATGAGTAAAATGAAAAAGTAGGGACTACAGAATAAAAATTTAGTAATGGGGACTGATTCTTAATAAATTAGACAAAATAGGGATTTAAAGCTAATTGTGCCTTAAAATTATATGGGCAGACATTGAAAGTAGAGGTTGGTTGAGCAATTTTGACTCTATTCACTAAGCAAACAAAGGCATACTTATTTGATATTTCTTCGATTCGGTTCGACTGTGGTTTTTAATATTTTGTTCGGTTTGGTTAATCTAACCGAATATATTTATATTATTAAATTTTAAAATTTATGTTAATAATTATATTCGGTTCGGTTTCGGTTCAAATATTTAAATTATTTGTAAATATTTTTATTTAATTAAAATTTAAATTATTTTTTAATATATATATTTTTAATTTCGATTTTTATTTCGAATTACTTGCAAATATTTCAAATATTTTCGATTAATCGAAAATTCGATTAATCAAATTTTTCGGTTCGATTTCGGTTCATGATTTAGGATTTGGATATTTTTTCTATTCGATTCGGATATGAAATACCTACGTCTTTGCAAATAACTGAATGTGTACACCCCACCCCTGCATAACATCACTAAATTGTGTAATTCTATCTGTTGCCCAAAAGATTGAATTCTTTGTTTTTGATCGGATGTTGCCCAAAAGATTGAATTCTTATTTCTATCTTTTACATAATTCAAATGCAACAACTAACCATAAACCATGCATATATGTATATATATATAGAGGTTTTCCGGCAGCATTTTAGCCACGTCCGATACAGTCCGACGCCGGCTTCTGGCCGCCGCGGCACATCGGAATCCCACGGTTGCACGTTATACAGTTGCGCGCGAGGCTGCCGGAGACGGTGCTGTTCACCAACCCCGCCGGCACGGATCCTTCGAGCAGGTTGTTGTCGAGATACAAACTCCTCCAGTAACCTTTCTCGACACGCTCCCCGTACTCCGTCGGAATTTCGCCGGAGAACAGGTTATGGCCCAAGTTCACAGAACTCAAGTTCTTGTACGTGATCAGGTTCAACGGAAGCCGCCCGCTGATCCGGTTTTTCTGCAGCTCGAGGACCTCCAGCTGCGTCCGCTTGCTAGTCATTTTCTTGACCTCCATTTCCGTGAACCGGTTGGACGAGAGGTCGATGTGTCTCACCACCGGCAGCACGAGCACGCCTTGGTTCACCAGCCCCGTGAACCGGTTGCCGCTCAAGTGCAGCTGCACGACGCGCTGCAGCCGGTCGATGGTCGCGATGTGGCCGTAGAGCAAGTTCTGGCCCAAGAACACGGCTCGTAAGCTGCTCGGGAGCTCCGGGAGATTCCCCGAGAGCTCGTTGTTGCTCAAGTCGAGTTTCTCGAGCTGCCATAGTCCTGTCATGTCCGGGATTCGGCCTGCGAGTTCATTATTCGACAAGCTTAAGTAAGTCAAGCTGCGCAGGCTGGATATCCCGACGGGGATGGGACCGGATAGCCTGTTCCGAGAGAGGTCGAGAATTTCAAGCCCTTTGAGATTTTTCAGGCCGGGAGGAATGTCGCCGGACAGGTAGTTTTCTTGAAGCATCAGTCGGGTGATCTTCGTCGCATTGACGATCGACTCAGGAATCGGGCCGCGGAACTTGTTCTTACTCAGGTTCAGTAATGTGAGCTCCCGGAGGTTTCCGAGAATGGGGCTGAGGAACCCCTCGAGCCCATCGGCTTCCAAGTTGATTTCGATAACACGGTTGCTGGAATTACCGCCGGGAAAGGAGCATAGAATTCCGAGGAAGCGAGTCCCCGGCGACTCGCATGGATCGATCTCGAAATCCCAAGTCCGGAGGAATATGGAGGACGCAATTGTGTTGGGATCGATCGACTGCCTGATCGACTGAAGAACTTCGACATCTGATTCCAAAGTTTTCGAATCGACAAGCGTTAGGAAAAGAAATGTAAAAGCTGTGCAAGAATACGGAGAGAATATTGAACGAATGGATGAAGCCATTTCGCACGACCGGAAATTACTGAAACCACACGCCGGGAAGCTCCTTATATTAGCACAATCGAATGCTAAAGATCGAGTTACCTTGATGGCGAAAAATGGTCAATCGCATGCGAAACGAGCTTCTCGGATTAGGTTGCAGGCACAAAAAATGTTTGCTGTGTGTGTTCTGTGGCTGTTAGTTCATCAGTTCCTCACAGCCAATTTGAGCTTTCTAAGAAACAGCTCTGTCCTGCAGTGAAACAAAGCATTAGTCCGTAGTTACAGTGCTCGAAGAAAATCGAAAAACTTACTTACACATACACAGCCAAAGCCTTACCAATGAGTTAGGGAAAATCAACCATCAGTGGATCCATATACGAAAAAAAATTAACTGAAAAGGAAGCCGGGAGAGCGACATCGACGGAAGTTTAACAAATATAATCGTATAACAATATCACAGCACAGAACCAAGGTTGCAGAGATAAGAAAACGTAAAACGCAGGCAACAAACGATACACGGTAAATATATGAAGGTTCAGCCGAGATCAGGAACTATGAAATGATCGTCGTGGTGATCTGGAGTTTCGATTCGAGGCTTCTTGTGAGCACTGTGGAATTTTGTAGATCTGTAGGCGACTGTGTTGCTCGGCTGAGACGATGATAGCTGAGGCACTTCGGCTGCAGCTGATTCGCCGAAGAGATTAACATCTGCCAACCATTCGAACTCGCTAAACACGACCTGTTCCTTCTGCATCCATGGAAAAATGGTTGATTTCGCAACAACTCTGTTTTTATCAGCAGAGAAAGGTAATCCAATCAGAAGAATTCGAACTTTCTTACCTTATCAAAGACACCGCAATCTGAAAACTGTAACAAATCATCAACTGCCCAAGATGGCGATGCAAATCCAGAAACAGGCTGCGAGGAAACAGCAAAAGCAGTCGTTTTTGGATTTGATTTTGGAGGCTTTGGCTCAATCTGTCCCTCGGACATTTCCTTATCACAACTGGAATTCAAAGCTACTCGAATTCCGGTAGCTAAGTATCGCTGATGGTTTCTTGCAAGATTGCACGATAAATGAATGGGCTCGTCGCAGTCCTTGCAGAAGAGCGCGCGATCCTCCACACAGAAAATGAAAGCTGCTTTCTCCTACGCCGAATACAAGAACATAAAATAAATACTATCCTATCATGTTCTTCAGAATTTTTTGTAACATATAATCATCTTGCTCAAGTTTGTAAAATCCATAGGATAATGCAAGAAAGTATTAGAATTTTATGGCGTAATCTCGCCGTCCCAATGAAAGCATACCAATTTTTTCTTTTAAGAACATCACATCCAACAACTATATTTCTCCAAAAAAACAGCATAAACAAGAACACTTACAATACAACAAGAACATACTGTAAATTACTTATACCGAATCCAGCTTTTGAATCCCATATGAAATTTTTACCATGCAATCTTCCAATAAACATATATTTATTTTCTATATAAAATATCACATACAACGACTATTTTCCCCAAAAAAACATTGACAACCAAAACATTCGAAACACAAAAAGAAGTGCAAAAGCTGTCTTCAAAAATTTCAAGATCACAAAACCAAAAAGAAAAGATTTCTTGCAGGCAACAAAACTCTGCTATCATCCAATTCCATACTCAAGAAATGATTCAACAATCCTAAGATACTGTTAGAGATTCCAAATAACACTCAGAACAAAGGAGCAATCCATAGCAGATGCACCACAGAATGAACAATTGCAGACAAAAAGCATCAACAAACAGAGATAAGGATTTCGCATACTCTGCATATATCGCAAGGCGGGAGGTTCTTCGACAGGCACTGCAGAAACAGCCTCTGGTGCTTGCTCGCGAGCTTGTTCGCAGCGTGAATTTCAACGTCACATTCATCGCACAATGCGGCCTCATCCGCGCAGCAAATCATCGTTGCCGGAGCCTTCTCGCACACATCGCACTGCAATTTCATCTTCTTAGAGTTGAAGTTGAAAATGAACAAATCTCAATAAAAATGGAAATACATCACCCGATGAGAAAAAATATTAGAGAAAAAATATCTTCGGAGACAGCTGGTGATGGAAACCGGAACCGAAAGAGACAAAACCATGTGGCTGGAGGAGAAGATGGGAGGAAATGAAGTGACGGATAGGGTTGGGGATGGGATTTTTTCGAATCAAATGTTGCAATCTGTTGAGGCAAGCGAAGGTATCGTGGGGCCGAATCCATGTGGTTGTGGAATTCCGAGGCTTCATATTTTTGTTCTCGCTCTTCCTTGCTTCTTCTTCCATGGATTTGACCGCCAAGCTCCAGCCTGCCTACCTTGCAACGAATTTTCAAAATTGATGAGAACTGTGAATTTTTGGCTAGAGGTTGATTCGAATCGAGGAGAGCCGAGGATGATCCTATTCCTATCGATGCTTGAAGCTAGGGTTTTGCTGATCTTCTGAATCAATCTGTCGAACGCCATGTCTTCGCAAATAGCTTCGATATTAGATAGTGTAGGGAAGGAAATCATTGGTATTTCACCCAATTTTCACCATTTTAGTATCCATCTTCTTCTTCTTCATCATCTTGTTTATTTGCCATCAGCAGCTTCAACATCAATGGAGACGTTCGCATGGATTTGCTACAGTGGTGCTAGTTTGTTACTCCGCCGTCAATTTATTTATTTTATTACTCAGTCCATAAAATTTATGTTATATGGGCTACTATCCCAAAAAAAAAAAAAGTTATACTCCATCACTCTCCCAAGAAGGTTGTCATATTTATTGATGCAATTTTTCAACAATAAAAAAAAATACAAAAATAAAAATTATCTTCGAATTTGATACAATAAATGTCCGAAGTTAGGAATCCTTAGGCACGGTAGGATACATAAGGTAGGATACATAAGTAAAATAACAAAAAATAAAAACTACAGATTTAAAAAGTACAGTGGTGATCCCAAAAAGCAATTCTCTTGAATTTGATATCGATTGAAGATGGTTTATTTAGGCCATGAACAGACCTATTTAAAACCCATGTCAACCGCCACAACCAAGTCGCGCCTTCATATCCGCTTGTCGGTTGTAACTTTCCTCAACCGTCCAAAACTACTTTTCGCCCTACCTGCACACTTGTTGTACCGTCTCCTATAGCCCGTCTTTCACTTGTCTGACCTCCACATCAATCATCTCCTTGCCCGATTTCATTTCGCCCGACCTATATGCCGTCCGACCTGAATGCATATCATCTCCTTCATCCGTCCTTTCCTTGCCCGACTTTATTTCGTCCAACCTTAGTAGGTCCTAACTTCGTGCCCGACCTTGTCACGTCCGACGTCCGTGCCCGACCTTGTCATGTCCAACCTCAGTGCCCGACCTCGTCACGTCCGACCTTCGTGCCCGACCTTGTCGTGTCCGATCTCAGTGCCCGACCTTATCAGGTCCGAACTTCGTGCCCGACCTTGTCACGTCCGACCTCCGTGCCCGACTTTGTCGTGTCCAACCTCCGTGCCCGACCTTATCAGGTCTGGCCTACGTACCCGACCTCATCATGTCCGATCTCCGAGCTCGACCTTATCTTGTCTGATCTCTGAGCCCGACCTTATCTTGTCTGATCTCTAGGCCCGACCTCGAAATCACAGTTATCTCCCGAGGAAACCTTTTCCCTTGATAGCACTCGGACTTATTCTTGGACTCCCTTTTTTCTGAAAATCCTACTACTGTTAATTGCCCATTAAACTCTATATCATTCCTTAACTCAATTTACCAGGTTCATTCTCGAAAACTGTTTTTTCTTGCTCAACAATATGCCGTAGAAATCAAGAGAAAAAAAAAAACAAAAATACGTTTATTAGTTTTTTATAATACAAATGTAATGATATTTTTCGAGTAAATTATTAAATATAAGAATATTTTTAATATTAAATTTTGATTAAATTATTAAATATACTCAAAAATAGTTATTTTTTTATGTTTTAAGAGTTCGCTTTTACTGTTTTTTAGGCTATATATAATAAAAATCAATATATTTGTAATTTTAGGGGTTTGGAAATTGATATTCTAAAATTTATTCGCAGTTTAGGTGCATTTATGTCAAATACCGTTAAAGAGGGTTAGACACAGAGTTTATGAAACCAAAATTGAATTAACGTAGTTTTAGAAATATGAAAAATTTAGTGCAATTTCAAATTTTGTGTAATTTAGTCTTATATTTAAGTAATTGTCAGAACTATTATAAAATTTAATTTTTCAAATGTATCATTAATTTAAGATTTAAATAAAAAAAGAAATTTTAAAAAAACCCAATAAACACAACCACTAAACGTAAGAATAGCAAGTAAAGGGCACGGTTATAGACTTATAGTGTTGAATATGTATTGTGTGTTGTTTTACAGCAAGTATCCTTGCATGGCATATGTTAATATAATACAAATACACATAAACTACTATTTAATAAAGAAATATACTATTGTGTTTATACTTTTTTTATTGTTATTTATTTTTATTAAAAATTGTATCAAAATATTTGAACACATATTGAATGACTAACGAAGTACTATTGAATAAATATTTATTGGGCTTGTCCGTCCATGAAGCCCAATCTAAGGCTCTCATTATCCCATATGGGCCGGTTAAAATAATTAATCTTTTTGATAAGTATAGTCTAAATATATATATATATATATAAAAACATTGGCTTTGTTTAAATGAAAGTTTTGATATTTAAAAATTTTTAAAAATATTTAAAAGTGGATTATTTGGTGTAATATTTTATTAGATAATAAAAATATTCAAACAAATTGCGTTTCTAAAAACTAACTATTGATAAATAATAGTAAGAGTTCCTAAAATATCTATATAAATAATAGAACCTATTAGCACTATTAGGGGCTGCGGGTTCCCACGTCATAAAAAATATATATATATACTCCATCGAATATTTATTTTTTTCTTAAAACATATTAAATCAAACACAATCTTTTATAATTCTCTCAAATTTCCAAAACTCAAAGAGGGTGTTCGTTTGTAGAATTTTAAAAAAAAAAATTACTATTCATATATATTTTCAAAATATCAAGTTTAAAATTTATTTTTATTTATTATATTAAATTAAAAATATCGTATTTTTATTCAATCAAACAATTATTTTAATTTATAACTCAAACTCCACAAATAAAACCTAAAATATTGTGCATTTACTTTAAACAGTCATTTTCATTTTTTATATGATTCAATTTTTATAAATTTTATAAAAATATACTTACTTTTTCACATAATATCATATATAAATTATTATTTAAATAAAGTTAAGATTAAAAAAATTACCAATTCAAATTTAATAAACATTATTCTGAATTGAATATTATATTATTAAAAATAATTAAATAGATTAATTCCTTATAACAAATTCACACATATTTTTTTTTATCATTTGTTAAAAATAGCATAAAAACAAACACGTAGTATCATTAAATTCGGTGCATATTCATTACAAGAATTTATAGTAAGGTTAGTTGGTAGGCGCATTTACGGCGTCGGTGACCCGCACGCCATAATTCACAATAAATTTAATTACCAATTTATCCGTGTTTGTTTGGATTTTAAATAATAAAATTTTTAAATTTAAACAGTTGTAAATGATATAAATACGTGTTGATGTAATATTTTGAATGTAAAATTGATTATTATTTTGGGGGAGGGCGGTGGATTTTTAATGAATTGTAGAAATCCTAACAAATGTTCCAAACAAACACAAATGTATTTAATGTTGTCATTTTGTAAGATTAAGGGTATCAATTCGTATTTTCGGGTTGTGTTCGTGTCGGGTTGAGCCATGAGGATAACAAAAAAATTGTCAATCCGAACCCAATTCGAATCCGAAATGACCTGAAACTCTAGACTCGAGCATGACACGAATTCTTTCAGGTCGAGTTTAGGTTGACCTGATTTAGTTTCAGGTCACCCAAAATCCGAACGAACCTGACACGAAATAGACTCGAAAACTTTTAAAAATTAAATTAACCTAAAAAAAATTATTTTTATTTAATTTTTATATTATTTTATATTTAAAATAATATAAATACTATAAATTAAATTATTAATAATAAATTATTTCAGGTTAACCCGAAACACTAAACCCAAAACTTGACCTGATTTTTACATTTCGGCTTATCAAGTCAACCCGAAATCCGACCCGAACACGACACGAATTTTTTTGTTTCAGGCTCACGTCAACCCAATTTTTTGCAAACCCGAAATACCCAAACCCAAACCTGAAAAATTTCTGATCAAATAAGTTCGATTTTTCAGGTCGGAGTTTAATTTTGACACCCCTACTTAAGATGTATGAATGCAATAATGAATTAAATAAAATCTAGGAAGTATATATATATATATATATAAACATAATATTTAAATATATATTGATTTTATTTTGTGGTGAATAAAAACTTTAACACTAATTATATTTCAATGATTAAGTTATATGTATAAATGCTTTTTAATAATTTTAAGGGTTCAATAAATCTTATTCCAATTATTCAATGTTTTATACTCCTTCCGTTCACACACAAAGTAAATATTTACTTTTGGTGCGCTAGTAGTTAAAAGTAGTATAATGATATTTTTGCTCTTATTTTTTGGTGTAAAATTAATAATGTGATATAAAGTAAGGGTATTTATAAAAAAAAATTATTATTGATAAAGTGTGCCAATGATATAATTATATATGTAAATCAAATTTAGGGTGTGTTTGTTTGGAGGATAGGATTTTAAATTCATTATTCATCTCTTTTTTTTCCCCAAAAAAATATCAAATCAAACACTTATTTTTTATTTTTTATATTATACTAAAAGTCAATTTTCCATTCAAAACATCACATAACACGTATATATCACATCATACAACTATTCAAATTCAAAACTTTTACTATTCAAATCTTATCTCAAAATCCAAACCATGCTTGTTCCTTTACATTTACATAATTTTTTATAAAATAAAATAATTAAGATTTCTTAATACTCACAAAGTAATTAAAATAATAAAAAAATATTTTTACCTATACGGT